AAAGAAAGAAAGAAAGAAAGAAAGAAAGAAAGAAAGAAAGAAAGAAAGAAAGAAAAGAAAATGGCTAAGCTCTAAGGCGATGCTGAGGAATTTGCTGAGTGGGTTCTGAGGCTTTGGGTGGGGCCGGTGGGGCGCAGGCGTCAGCCCCCAGGCCACAGATCAGCGCCACACCCCAGCCGCACAGCAGGAGGTGGGCACCCGGGTCTTGCCACCGCTGTCGTGGGCTGACGTCACCGCCCGAGCTCAGCGGTGACCCTGGATGGTCACAGGAAACCCTGCTGAGAGCTGCTCAGGTGTGGGGTGTAGGGTGTGCCCCCTGGACTCCTCTCCAACTGCCTCTGCGTCAGGTGGCATCAGGACAGCCTGGCTGGAGGCGATGGCCGCGAGGAGGGCCAGCTGCTCGCCTGCCACTGGCACCCCTCAACCCGAGGCTGGTGCATCCCCAGCTGCCCCCGCAACACTCCCAGGTCCCACCAGACTCCTCAAGAGTCAGCTCAAATGTCCCTGGCTTTGCGAAGCTGCCCATCCTGTTCGCCCCCGCAAGAGACCCAGGGCTTGCTCCCCACTCCTGGGGGAGCCCCAGGCTGTCGGGGTGCAGCTGTTCCTGGGCTGCACGTCCAGGGTGACACACGGCAGCTGTTTGCTGCTAGGTGAGTGGAGAGGACACGAATTACAGAGTGAACAAAGTGCGGTTTAGAATACACACGGGACACATCAGGTCTGCCTTTGGGGCTCACCTGGTCAGCAAGGAGGAGGAGGAGGCCTTTGGGGTGCGGCGCCGAGTGGGGGTGCTGTTCTGCTACAGAGGAGGAGAGTAGTTTTGATTTAGTAAGAGAATAAGGCACTTTGAGGGGCCGCAGAGATGGCTCAGTAGAGTAAGCACTTCCCTGGCAAGCACAAGGTCCTGAGTTCAATCCCCAGTTACACACACACACACACACACACACACACACACACACACACATAAATAAATAAAATTTCTTTTGGTTTTGGTACCAGGAATCAAACTCAGGACCCT